GGCGCTACAGTAGCAGATATAATATTAAACTTATCACATAGCGCAATTGCAACAACAATAAATATCGCAGATTTAGTTAATCAAATAACAGCAGGAAATGCACAAGGTAGCAGTAGCAATTCATCAAATGAAGCTATTAGTGTTCATAGTTCTCCACCTATTACTGCTCATAGTTCTTCATCTGAAAGTCCAACAGAAATACCAGCACCAACTGAAGACGAAGAAGAAGACGGAGAAGAAAAACAAAATTATAATTCTGAAAAATTAAAATCTAAATAATATTATATATAATGGGTGCTTTTCAAAGTAAAGATAATGAACATAATAGTTTGGAAGACATTAAGGTTTTAAGTATAGATGAAAAACACGAGCAGACACTTTAATTATTAAATCTCTTCAAGAATGTGTGGCACGAATTGAGAAACTAGAAGAAGAAAAATCTGACAAATTAATATATAAATTACCTGTTCAATTATGTAATTATTCATTATTTTAAATTGATAATATTAACATACATTAATATTATTAATTACTATCATAATCTGTCATTTCACTTTCGGGTAATTTTGTTGAGGCGTTGCTACACATATCATCTATTAAATCTTCTTCATCAACAAAATTATTTTGAAATCTTAATAATTCCTCGTCTGCTGGTCGTCTTTTTAACACTTTATAAAGTTTATGTATCCAAGAATTAGTATGAAAATTGTAATTACCTCTACGATAAAATCCACCACATCTACATAGTTTCATTAGCATATTATTATATTATATTAAATTAGAATATCTTTATTCATCATTTGTAATTTGAAATGCCTGTTCAAAATTGATATGAAACATTTTGTTAATGTCTTTTGAATTCATATTCACGTAGAAAAAAGAATATGGAGCAAAATTAACGGCTTGATGATACATATCTAATAATTGCTGTTTGTCAACAATGGCACTATTTTCTTCAATAAAACTCATTAATTCACTGGCATTTTTCAACCTAAAAATATATAATGAACTGGCATTTAAACGAATGATAGGCGCCAAAACATTGTATTTTTGTGTTGAACAAATTACGCTTACTGCATCGTGCCTACCTCTTGTAAATAATCCATGTAATAATTTACTATATCTAACAAATTTAGGATCGTCGGCATGATCGTCTATAACGATTAATATTGAATGTAGTTTCTTTATCTTTTTAGATTTCATATAATTAATTATTTTCTTCTGTCTTTCAATTACATTTTCTAAATCACTTGGATTATAATTATCAAAATAAATTTGTTCTTTTTCATCATCCACGTGCAATTCATCCCTGATATATTTTTTAACTTCTGTAAAGGTTGGGTCATTATGAACGCTGGGGGAAAATATAAATATTCTTGCAAATGAATTTCTATAAACATTTAAGATAAGGTTCTGAACCAAGACTGTTTTGCCGCCTGTCGAAGAAGCAACTATAATACTTCTAAATGGTAATTTTGGCACGTGCTCATATTTAGATTGTTTGAATTCATATTCAGTTATGTTTATTGGCTTTATTATTGGAACATCTGACATAATAAAATAATATTAAAGTTATTTAGAAAATATTTTATATTTATTATTTTATATGAATAGAAGCTATTCAGATTATATTGATATAATAGATGAAGTAGAGAATTTAGAACAAGTTGTTATAACTGATAATAGATGCAAGAAAGTATGCTATTTTGTTTTAGAAATAATTAAGTTTGTGATACAATATATCAAATACAAATGTATATATTAATATAAATGGGAAGAAAGAAAAAGAATAAGACTGAACCAGTTGTTTCTTCAACTGATGAAGAAAAAGAAGAAGTTGTTAAAGAAACATCAGTTGTTGAGTTTGCTTGTCCAATGTGTAAAAAGATGTTAGAAATGAAAAATGAATTAGAAATTCAAAAGAAAGGAAATTGTAAATGTTCGTGTATTCCGACAAGTTTCAAACTAAGTAAGAATGATAAGAAAATGAATATTGATAAAACTAAAGACAGTATCAACTTAGAAACAGATGTTCATAATATTGCTATACGCTTTGGGAGGGGAGTTACTCCATCCGATAATGGTGATAAGGAAACTCAGGAAACTATTAAACAAATGATGAAAAATTAGTATTTAAAGGGTAGATTTAACACAATTTAAACATTTAGTTTTAAACGTTTTATTTTATAATATAATATATATATTTACATGGATGAAGGATTAGAAAAGATGGTTAAAAAACTGAACAAGGTTTTAGAACAGAATAAGAATATTTTAGAAATCTTACAAGAAATGGAAAAGAAGAAACCATTAACAAACAGTTATCAAAGTAAAGAAGTAGATAGAACCAATGGTGAATATAAAAATAAAAGAAATATTTATTTAAACAAACTTAATAACAAAGAAATTAAAGAACCGAAGGCTTCAACTATGACATTTTATCAAATCGACTATGATGAAGATACAGGGATTTATTCTTGATTGAAAACATTTTTCTCTGAAAATCCGTTTAAAGACATATTGGCATAACTAATATTATGAGTTCTACAGATGACGAAGAAGAAACAGGATACACAATGGTTTATCCTTGCAGTAAATGCGACGAAGCAAGGCCAAGAAAGGATTTTCACACAATGTATGACAGAATTAAAATGGAAGAGATATTTTACAAAACATGTAAGGAATGCAGAGACAAAGTAAAAGCAACAAAAGAGTTAAGGAAGGAACAGAAGAAACGAATACAACCCATGGAAATACATAGATTAAAGCCTTTGATACCATACTTTTACTATACTCACAACATGTAAGATCTTATATGTTGTAATTATAGTGGTAAAAATATTTCTATAAATTATAGTTTCTCTGAAAATGTATTTAAAGAAATATTACCTATATATGTATATTAGGACAATGAGCGATACAGAAAGTGATGCGGAAAGTGTGTATAGTGAATATAGTGATGCAGACAGTGAATATAGTAAATATAGTAACACAGTTCGTGAAGATATTGATGCTAAAAATATATTCAGAGAAAAGTTTATGAGTTATAAATGTAGAGACTGTGAGATGCTAAAATTACCAATTAAACAAGGTTTTTTGAATGGTGTTTGTGATAATATTTGTCAATGTATGATATGTGATAATTGCAAAAAATATAAACGAAATTGATGATGTGAAAGGCAAATATATACATACTAGAAATGTTAAAAATCTTGATGAAGATTTAGAAATATTTGTGTTTATTAAAATGAATAAGTTCTTGACTGAAGAAGAATTCGATAATTTATTAGATGATGGAAGTGATAATGATTTTATTTATAAGTATTATAGCATGGTAAAAAGATTATATGGTATGTCTTTTAATATTAGGCGTTTAATGAAAGAAGCATTGAATGATAATGACTTTGATTTTTTAAGTTGTGAGTATAAAGCTCACGAACTTAGATATACAGTAACACATGCAGTTCATGTAATGGGGATGTTTAGAAAAGAAATAGGAAATAATATTTATAATGAAAAACAGCTGATAAAATAATGAAACGAATTGAAGAAGATTTTTATAATGAATTAGAATAAAGTTGAACTCATAATATAATTATAACATGTAAACATTTATATGTTATAATTATTGTGTAATTTTCCTGTATAAGCCGTGGTGGTGCTCTCCTACACAGGCCTTTCCCATCCGCATATTGCCATCCAATGTCACACAGATTGTTTTCAAGATTTGGGTTAACGGTTGTAATTCTCCCTTTTCCATTGGTTAACCATTTTTCGGGGCGAACATAGCGTTCTTTTTTAGACTGTTCGTATTTGTTGGAAATGGGAAAGGGTTGCAGTTTGGATCAAGGGAGAAATTATTGAGATCTTGGGGTTGCGATCTTGGGAATGAAAAAATGTTGGTATGTAGCTTGGATTTTTTTGGTGGGATTTGTTGAGGTGGTATGTAGTTATGATTGTTGTTATTGAATGAGTGTAAGGGTGATGTTGAGATGGGGTAAGAAATGAAGATGGGTATGTGAATATGTGTTTTTTGGTGTTGGATTGGTTGGGTGATTGAATTTGAATGTTGAAAATAGGCTGTTTTAGTGGGCGTATTCAGAATGTGCCCAAAAGTGTGGGGGGACCCTAGGACCGGATGGCAAAATGCGGACGGGAAAGCCCCTGTCTAACTGAAGGAGGGGGGAGAAAGGGGGGAGTCCATGAACAATCCTGGCTGCTTTGAAGGTCAGATTCTGCTTTCATGTGGGGCTCTTGTGCTCTTTTTTTTCAGGCTTCTTCTACCCTTTGCAGGTTTGCAATTTTATCGGGAAACCACCAGTGGAACGCCACTTTTGGTGGTGCCGAGGTTCGATCTTGACACTGCGAGTGACTTTGTCTTTGCCCAGTCTGGTGGTGCCGTTCCGTTTTTGCCTTTGGGATTGGTCCCCTTTAAAGTCAACCGAAAGCACCAATCCCATGTTCAAATCTGGGCATCTGGATCTTCTCACCTCTTTGAAGGCCATCCAGTTCCATAGGTGGCTCAGTTGGACCTTGAGGCAAGTGACCCAACTTGGGATCCTCCCGCTCGAAAACTCCGCCTTGCACCGCGCGTTCGCGGGGACTGGGTCTGGCTTTTCTTTGCGGGACTGTTCCGAAAAGGGCGGGGGGGGGGGCTGTGGTCCTTGTGGTTTCCATGCAAAGCCACAAGCAAAACATGGGGTACTCCCAAAAAAGCTCTTGGACGAGGCGCCCAAACAAAACTCGCCAACTCCACCCCAACCATTCCAACCATCCCAACTCACCCTCGTGGTTTCCCTTCACCGCCAGAAGAAAACGATCTACCCCTCAAAAAGAGCACAAATGGCCATGGTTCAAAACCAATGCTACGATTTTGGGATAGGTGCCCCACCCATTTTAGAACCTATTTTGGGATGTTCACGGGTTACCGGACTTTTGACCCACAGCCAAATGGTTTCTTGTGGGAATTCAGCCAAACGAGTCCGCCATCTGATCGCCAGGCCTCGGCCGGGGAAACGGAGACGGAGATCGCTGGCAAGGCGTACCAGGCCATGGCCAAGGTGGGCGGGGAGTACCCGGCCTTCCCGCCCTTCGCGCCGCGGCTGGGGAAAAGAGAAATTTACATTGGCTGAAACGAATAAAAAGTAGATTTTCCCTGGTTGGTTTTAAAGGGACTCGATTTCACTACTGGAAATACTTGTTTTTTTCATTTTTTCCAGGGGGCTTTAGCAAGTGGAAGTCTCCCTGAGGGAGCTTCCATTTGAGTCATAATCAAAACCCGATATCAAAATGGTCTACCCAGAACCATGTCAAGAATTAAGAAGGCGGCCGCAGCTATTTCTGGTTGGGAGGGTACCGTGTGAAGAGTTGGCTCAAAGGGATTTCAATGGGGGTCCTGATGGGAGTGGCAGGGGGTACTCAGAATGTTGGGGCTGGTTTTACGGTGAAGCAGAATGCTTCTTTTTTTTTGCCGGGGGGTTCCCTTATTTGGACATAGTATTCAAGCAATGGTGGCGGCGTGCAATTTGTTTGTTTCTTTTTGCGCATTTGAGGTGGTCGGTCTTGTTCAGTGTTTTGTGTAGTTGGGTCCTACGACCATGGTGTTTGGTTTGTCTTTTTCAGACTTCATTCCGCTGCAGTGACTCCATACTAGCCATTTCTTCTCGGCACGTGTTTAAAGTTTAGCTTGTTGGTGTGTTTCGTTTCTTGCAGCCACAGATTGTCAGGTACCCACTAAGTCACTACTTGGTGGTTTGGATTGGTGCTTTGGATTTGGATTTGAAGCATTTCCTGGTTCTTACAGGAGGTACATGGGAAGCCCCGTTTCACCACCCAACCACCAATCCACACCAATTGGAAAGAAGCTCACTTGTTTTTCCTTTTTTATCTGGGAAACAACCCAAAAGAGGGCCTTTTTCTCCCACGACCGCTGGAAGCCTGGATAAAGTTTAACGGCTTGGGTGCAGATAAATGGCTTGGGCGACAATGGAAGGAGGGAATCGAATCACTCTTTAAGCTATCCCCTATGGTTTCCTTTGAGGCAATCCCTAAAAATGATTCATTTCCAAATATTCCCACTATCCCCTATGGTTTCCTTTGAGGGAATCCCCAAAGACGATTCATTCCCAAATATTCCCAACATGTGGAGGGAAGCTGCGATTGGACGTTTTTCGTGACTGCCCGGCATTTGGCACTGGGTGGTGAGCAGCCAGTCACCCTGTCTGCCATTCCGGCCGACCGACTCTTCATTTTGGTTGCTTTGTCTGTCTTTTTGAAGTCTCCAATGTAGTTTCAGATGGTTTTTCGTGACTAACGCTCCGAGGTGTGCATCGGCCAGAACGGGTGCCTGGGCCACTACCCGGGCTCCAGCAGTGGCGGCGTTCTCCGGGAGGGCGAGGCCAGCCAGCGTTTGGGTCGGAGATGCGCGGGAAAAAGCCATGTGTGGTCAGCTTCGCTCTCATCATTTCATCTCTTCATCTCTCCTCACCATTTGCAAAGCCAGTTTCGGCCCACGTTTAGTCAGCGTCCCAAAAGCCTTCTATTTCCAGGTTTTGGGCAAGCAAAAGTTGGTTAGGTCCTTTTGAACGTACCCAGCAGGGGCCCATGTTGAGAAACCCGCTTCAAATGGGTGTGTCGGAGTCAGTTTCAGTTTTTTCTTTTTGCAGGCTTAAACAAGGGCACTCATCGCGGATCTGTGCCAAACAGTTGATCGCCACCTTTTTTGCGGTTGGAGCCACACAAAAAGGTGTTCCTTTTGAGGGAGCAAATCTTTTTGAATTGGTTTACGCGGAGAAAAAGCAGGAAACAAACTGCCTTTTCTAGGACTTTCCTGGGGGCAGTTGTTTTCTAGGACTTTCCTGGGGGCGGCTTTTTTTTTGCCACGCAAGCAAACCGGCCACCCAACTTGAGAAAAAATCGAGGGACCAAAAAGTATACGGGTTGATTCCCCATTCTTTTCAACCATCGTTGTTTCCAAAAACCGGATCCATTTCCCGCGGGTTTTGGTGGTTTTCTAGAAAGATCCGGATCCCTGGAAAGCATGGGCATGGAAGTGTCCCCTAGAATTTTCCCTCTGGTTCCAAATGGTTGTGTCTTTCTTTGGCCCACCTCTTGGTTCTTCTTGGTTTTCTGCAAAACCACAAAACATGGGAAGTGTCCCCTAGAAAGAATGGACATGGAAGCTACCCCTAGAAAAATCGTTGCTTCAGAGGTGCTCTTCCTAGAGATCGGGGGCTGCTTCGAGCGCTACCACGGCGCCATGATGAGGACCTGCTTCGTGGGACATCAGCTGCCGCCTTTGTCACTCGCTCGGCGTTTCGTGGGCAAAGGCCAAAAAGTCCAAACCTGTGGCTGATGTCGGCCCAAGCAAGATGACTGAGGCACAGCGTGTTTGTGATTGTTGGTTGGTTGCTTATTTGTTTGCTTGTTTGTTTGTTTGCTTGCTTGTCTGTCTGTCTGTCTGTCTGTCTGTTTGTTTGTTTGTTTGTTTGTTTGTTTGTTTGTTTGTTTGTTTGTTTGGTTGCTTTGCTATATTTGTTTGTTTGTTTGTTTGCTTTGTTATCTTTGTTTGTTTGTTTGTTTGCTTTGTTATCTTTGTTTGTTCGTTTGTTTGTTCGTTTGTTTGTTTGTTTGTTTGTTTGTTTGTTTGTTGTTTGTTCTGTTTTGTTTTGTTTTGTTTCGTTGTTAACAGGGTTTGTTTGTTTGTTTGTTTGTTTGTTTGTTTGTTTGTTTGTTTGTTTGTTTGTTGTGTGTGTGTGTGTGTGTGTGTGTGTGTGTGTGTGTGTGTGTGTGTGTGTGTGTGTGTGTGTGTGTGTGTGTGTGTGTGTGTGTGTGTGTGTGTGTGTGTGTGTGTGTGTGTGTGTGTGTGTGTGTGTTTGTTTGTGTGTGTGGGTGTGTCTGTGTTTGTGTCTGTGTGATATTTTTCGGTGGTCACCGCAAAACATGGGTTGGGCTGAGGTTGGTTCAAGGTTTTCGTTTTCTCGGCAGCCCTTTTGGGATGGAAAGAGCAAGACTTATGAACCAGAATCAATGCAGTACCCCAGGTGTGGGAAACCAAAAGGAACACCGACATCCATTTGTGGGGCCCCTGAATTTGACACATACCCCTTCCAAGGCCGGGTCAAAGAGGCTTGTGGGGCAGTTTGGGGCCGGACCCCACATGGATTTCGGGTTTTCCATTTGGTTTCTCTTTAAGGCAACCCCGAGAAAAAAATACCCTTCGTCTCAAAAACAGAAAGACGCATCGTGATAAATGGGCCTTTTCTGTGGGGGAGCTGCGGATTACCTTTGGGGGGGAAGGCTTTGCGCCTCAGTCACGGGGGGATAGCTTTGCCCCCCTATTGGTTAACCAAGCTGGTGTTTGTTCACCTACTCCCACGGCCCATTTTTGGTTTAAAGGGTATGACACTCGTGGAGTAGGGGGTATCCTGCCCCAAAACGGCTCATAATCCCACCAGAAAATGGTGCAGGCAAGTGTTTGACGGGCGCCGGACGTGTGCCTTTGTTTTTAGAGACCCCCCTTTCCCCCAACAAAAAACACGTTTCAGTGTTCCGGGTGGTTTCCCCTTAAATCCAGCCTGAAACCGGGTCCCCTCCGCCAAAAACACCAAAGCCCAGGCTGCAGCAGGCCGAAGCGGCGGTGGTGGCGGCGATGGACGTGGCCGCCAAGGCCATGAAGCCCGGGGCCAAGGCGCGGCTCTGACTAGGTCCCCCAGCTATGCGCCCTTTGACCGTTTCTTTTTGTTGGGGAAGGGCTCCTTTGCTAAAATATAACTACTGAAAACAGTTGGTACCCGTATTCTAGCCTCTCCACTGGAGGACCTAGTTGACCTAGCCACGGGCCAACGAAGCCCGGGCAAAGCCTAGGAATTATAGCCTTATAGCCGACCTGACCCCAGGCACGGCACCTCCACCGACTTCCCCCCCCAAAAAAAAAGCCGGCCGTGCTTGGGACTTGATTCGACCCGGAGGCCAAGGAGGTGGACCAGGTGGCCCGCGCCGCCTTGACGCGGGCGGACAAGGCCTGGACCATGTCCCTCCGCTCGGGCTACTCCATCGGCATCGGCTTCTACACGGACCCGGAAGTGGCGTTTCCGGGCGCCGAGCTTTGCTTGCGACTGCGAGAGACGAATGAGAGTTGGATCTCACATGAACCTGGACCCTCAAACTACCCATAAAAATGGGAGATCACCCCATAATTTTGGGGGTCAAACCCATTTTTAAGGGAATTGTGAGGGTTCAGGAATCCGGATTTGGGATGCAAATTTCGAAGGGCGCCCCTTGAACCAAAGGCCTTCCAGGGTCCTACCAAACTTTTATTGCGAGAGATGCAGGGTCCCTGTGGAAGGGAATGACCCCGAGTCAAGCCCATCTTCAACTGGTGGTTTCCTTTAAGTTGGATTTCCTCATTGCCTACCGATTTCGCACCGATCGCAGGTTATTTTCTTATGTTTCGTTTCAGATTCATGTTGGTCCGCTTCAGGACCAAAAGGGTCTGAAGGCCAAGGTATGGCCAAGGTGGGAACATCTGTGGCCAGTTTCCGAGGACCCTGCGCTTGTTGGTTGGTTGGTTGGTTTCATCTGGTTTCATCTGGTTGTGTTGATGTGTTGCTTAAAAAGAAATGGTTGCTGTTTGCTGTAGGTGTTCTTTGGTGTCCTGCGTTTTTGCTTCCCTCTCTCTCTCTCTATTCTTTGCCGCATGCCTGGCCCTTGCCTGCCTGAGCTTCTTGTTACCCCTTGGTCCATTTTTAGTGGCTCCAAAAGGTGATCCTTTGTTTCTCTCGTGGTTCTTTGGGCAGGTGAACTGAACTATTGGAAGGACACGTTGGCAAACGCCAAATGAGTCACACTGAAAACCGATTCGGGTAGATGAAGGCTAGTAAGGGGCAGTCCCAGCCAGAGATAGTTGCGGATATCCGCCTTCTTAATTCTTTGCATGGTTCTGAGTAGACCATTGTAGGGTTTGATTGTGACTCAAATGGGCATTTCCTGTTATTCCGTGAGCACGCAGGCTTTAAACCGGGTTCAACAACTAGACAGAGACCTCGAAAAGGGCTGGAGAGAAACCAACAACTGGTTCCAACCATGTTGGGTAGTTGCCCCCCGACCCCCAAGCCCACCCAAACAAAAGAGGGGGCCTTTTAACACCCAACCAGGGTCTTGCACAAGGCCAAGATATGTTTTTGTCAAAATGGCAACTCCGGTTTCAACACACATATTCCCAACAATATGCACAAACGTCATATCATTGCGGCGGTGGTTTTCATGATGTCCTTAACCATATGCACAAACGTCATATCATTGCGGCGGTTTTCATTTCCCCAGCCAAGCACCAAACGGGCAGCCTCGCAGAGAACTTCACCACGCGACAGGACTGGGGGGAGGCCGAGCACTTCAAGATGGACCCGGGCTCGGAGCAGGCGAGTTGGGCGTCGTTGCGGGTTTTTGGGCGTGGGTTTTTTGCATTTTTGTGGTTGAGGATACCCTTGTTGCTTGGATTTTGCAAGGAAAACAGAAATGTTTTTTTTTTAGGGATGCCCCTTCCTGGTTGGTTGGATTTGAAAGGAATGCCAAACGGGGGAAACCACCGGGGGATGTGCCCTGGCTATTCGGTTGGTTGTAAAGGAGCTGCAAAAGGGACACAACCATTGTGGCGCGAGTGTTCTGGAATGACAAACCCCTGCGCCACGTAAAAATACTTGGGCAAGCTACCGCTCCCAAAGATCGGTGCAACAAAATTCCTTTGGTGCGTTTTGCTGGGATGTTAGAACTTTAACACTTTTTGCCAACTCATGGGGTTTTCCGTATCAAACCACTAAAATAAAAGCTTTTAGGGGAGCAGCAAGCAACCGGTGCACCGACCAGTGGCGAACGCGTGCGTTTTCGCGCGGCGGATTTCTTTCGGTGGTTCGAGGTGCTGGAGGAGGGCATGGTGATCCACTTGATCCCCTGGGTGCAGGCGATTGGTTCGTGCGGGTGAAACCAAATGGGTGGCTCGTCGTTTCTCGGTGCGATAGGGAGGGAATGAGAAATGGAATGAACCTGGGGATTCCAACTTATATAAAGGAAACCGCCAGTTGGATGGTTTGAATCGGACTCACTTCATTTCTCACTCCCTGCTGAGCACCAGCAAGTCTTGTAGGAATCTGGGGTTTTTTCCCTTTGGTTCCCATGAAAATCAACTGAGGGTACCCTCGCAAAAGACATACCCAAATCAGGATCCATGTGATTCCAATTTACAGGGACTCATTCTCAAAATCACTGGTGTTTTCGTGTTTTTTTGGGAGGGTCCTCTCAACCACCCTCTAGAGGGAAATGTTCGAGCATGTCACTTTCTCGCAATACGTGCAGCCATTTTCCCAAATTTGGGATGTTTTTTTTTTCTTGAACCCCCTTGAAGTGTTTAAGTTGTATGGTGGGTTTACTGTGAAACCAGAGGGAACCAGGGAAGCACCCAGCGTTTTGGGGAGGGTTCACTTTCAATACCTTGTCCTTCTCTCTCTCTCTCTCTCTCTCTCGCTCTCTTTTTGAGGGTGCCCTAGGAAACCAAAGTCAGTCAACCCATGATTGGTGTTTTGAGGATTCGAACCCCTTGTTCTTGTAGAGGGCAAATGGGAAACCACCCTGCCACCAATCCAAACCACGAATTGGAAGGAAGCTGACAAAGGGAAATTCGAAAGCAAAGGTTTTGGAAGTTCCACATCCTCGGAAATCCTAGTTTGAGACAAATCAAAGCCGTGGCATGGCGACCCGCTCCCTTTCGAGTTGCTTGTTCCTCTTAAATGATCACTGCAAACCCTTTCTTTTTGGAGGCGAGGTCCCCCAGTAGTGCCCTTTCTCACCCTCTTTGGGGGGAGGCTTCCCCTAAGATAGACTGAACAAAACAAATCGGGTACCAACTTCGAACCTCTCTGGAGGACCTAGGAAGGGTTGCCAAGTCTGACAAGAAGGAGCGCCATGTTTTCCCTTCCAGCCCATGGTTTGGGCACAGAGGTAGGAGACCCGGTGGAGTCTTCGCGGATGGATGGCTCGTCTTTTTTTTTTCTCTTCGGCGAAGGGTGGCCCCACTTTTTTGGCCTTGAAGGGGAAAAAGCAAAAGGAAGGTCGAATCCATTTTATGTGTATAGTAGGTAACAAAGCTGAAAGGGAACCGGAACCACCCTTTAACTACCAACAGGAAAAGTGGTGGCTGCCTACTTTAGAAGCATCTGGGATCCAAAGTTTGAAGAGAACCATTGAAACTCCGATACTGTGGATGGGCGGAATCCATTTCGCACCACCTAAGAAAGCCTAGAATGTTTCGATTTCCCAGTGAATGCCAACACACAATGGTTTTTCATTGTTCCAAAGTGGTGCGACCGGATTTCGCAACCATCCACAGGAAAAGTGTTGACTGGGTTTAAAGGGAAACAGACAGGAACACCAAATCCATGTACCTGTATCGTTGGTTGTTCACTTTAGCCTCCGGGCTCCACTGGCTGTACAGGGAACCCAAACGGGCAACGCCGAAACGCCTGCCGTTTTGGTCGGAAGGTGCCGGAGTACGGGGGCGTCGGCCTGAGCGACACGGTGCTGGCCACTTGGACAAAAAGACTCAGAGTCTGAGCGTCGGCTCGGCTCGTTGGCTCGTCCCCGCGCCAAATGGGGTATGTCCTGTTTTAGGGGAGCCCCCCCAAAATGGTTGATTTCCTCGTGCTTTTCCCTTTCTAAGCCGCAAAACAACAAAGGCGCCCTCAACAACAGACAGACCCAACATGGCTTTGCCTTTTGAAAGGTTGGACCCCCCAAAATGGCGCAAAGCTTTTCCTGATGGCTTTAAACCTACAAGAAACAAGCTGTTTGCATAGTTGCTTCAGATTCCTGGACCCTTCCCCCATCGGAATTCGCTTCATATTAGGGGAAATCCAATTTTTGTTTCCCCACAAATGCCTGTGCTGTCTAAAAGCTCGCCGTTTTGGGTTTGGTCTCAAAGGGAGACGATCAGGAAGGAAACGCGTCGCCTTATGCACCTCAGAGATTGACCATGTTGCCTGATGAAACCCCAAAGTGCCCAAACCGCTTGGCCAAAAATTGGGAGGTTCTACCCATGGATACAAGCCGCTAGAACCATGGTCAGTCTACTACCTGGTTTAATTGGACTCAGAGTAGCCCTTGCATGGCCAATATTTTTTTCAGAGCCGGAGCCACCCATCGAAGTCTTCAAATATCCAGTCCGGGTCCCCATAGAAACTCCACATGGGTTGCGACCCATCCAGTTTAGCAGGTTCTACCTCTGTTTGTTGGTCAGAAGTAAAACCTATTGCTTAGTAAGTAGAACCAACAGCTGCTTATATAAGTGGTATATTTCCTCCATACCTCCAACAAATCCAATCCCTGCAAATGCCAACTTGATCAAGCGACTTTTTCGGGTGAGGTGACCAAATCCGGTGCGGTCTCCCTCTTCGAGAAGCAGATCCCCCGGAAGATTCGCCTGATCCCTCCACCCGCTGAGCGGCCCTTTGGTCCGGAGCAGGCACAGAGGCCAGCCCGCTTCAATTCGGAGGGTGGTCAAAGCGAAGCAAACAATGAAATGTTCATTCCAGAACTGGGCCTAACTCTAATCATGTGGTGATTTTGGTCGGGCTGAGATGTGGCTTCAAGGGCTTCCATTGGCTGGAATGTTTTCTTTTTCATGTTCTCCTTTTGGCGTAAAAGGGAATCGACTTCACTGCTGGCCATATTTTTTGTTATTTTTCCAGGGGGCTTAAGCAAATGGAAGAGGGGGTCGCCTAGGTGCGTCTCGAAAAAAAAGTGGGCCCCCTTCAAGTGGGTGGTTTCCTTTTGGTTCCAACAGGCGTCCCCAACTTGAGGCGGAATCAAAACGCAGGACATTGGAGGGTAGTAAGGAACAATCCCAAACAGAAAACTCGGTGCGGCCGCCTTTGTAGTTCTTTGCATTGGTTTGGGTAGGCATGTGAATGGGTTTCATTGTGGCTCAGGTGGTATCCCCAACAGAACCGGAACCCTTCCGGAAACCAACCCCGGAGCTTATTGAGGGCAGAGACCTCAAGACTCCATAGCTTCCAGCTGTTGAGAAAGAACGCTGGGAGTTTCCTCTAGCTTCTCCAAGCAAAAGCCACTCCAAAAAAGGGTACCCTCAAAACATCACGCACGCATATGGTTAGCAGCCGCTGTTGGTTTCCCCCTCGCACATACCCAACAAGGGGCGCTCTAAGTTTGAGCAACACAAACCTAGGCGTCAAATGTCAGCCATCTAAGATACGCGTTTCAGGTTGGCTTGATGAAGGGAAATCAAAAGAAAAGCCACCAGTCTGGGGTGATGTGGGGTATCCAAACTGGATTTTAAGACATAGCCAGCCTTGGAGCTGTGGACCCTGTGAAATGGTCGGTGTCGCGATGATTTTATGGGATGAATCAGTTGGTTAAATTTGTCCAGACGGAAGATTTAGCATCCAGCTTTGATTATCCTACTCTACGCGGGGTGTTGGTGGGTGGAAGGTGGGTTTTACTCTTTTTTGTTCACACAAAAAAAAAAAAAAACGTATGGGTGTGTCGCTCTTGATGGTACCCTCTTTGAAGTTGTGCTGATGAAACGAAAGGGAAGCGGCTTGCAGCGGCTGTTTTGGTGGGTGCAAACCTATTTTCCTAAACTAGGCCCCCCAGAAGTGCCCGTTTACCCTTTTTGGGGGGAGGGTTCCCCTACTAAAATAGACTACAACAAAAAATGGTACCCTTTTTCTAACCTTTCTACTGGAGGTGGATTGCCCGTTCTCTCTTGACATCGTCTTTTTAGAAACGCATGTTCCCACAAGAACTCTGTTGCCCAGCGGGCTGCTTCCTTTTTCACTTTTTTTGGGTAAGGGTTCCCTTTTAAACTCAACCAACCAAAATTCGATGCCCTTTTTTCCCATGGCCACCGGGCATCCGAGAAAATTCGCCCATCTTTTGAAGAGAAGGATCCTCGAAGAGAACGGAGAAGGTGCGGCTGGAACTTTGATCCAACACTCAAATCACCTTTATCATGAGGCCCCATCTGGGTTTGTCGCAACATAGTGGCCTTCTTCCAAATTGGGGAGGAGGGAAGGAGTCCCTTGTGTTTCTCCTCGTACATAACGGTATATTGGCAGAGTGGAAGTTCAGTTTGAATTTCACACTTATGACATGTACATTCGCCGTGAATGGGCATAGGTACGATACAAGTTCGGACGGGAGTACCTCAGTCAGCGTTTTCAGCAGGATGGTTGTAAATGTTCTCAAGCATCATGGCTGTCCTTTTGATCGCATCGATGGGTTGCACTGGTGTAGATTGGTTTAATGCCATCCATGTACCAGAGCCATCTATTTGTCCAGAAGGTTGCCGATGTGTTCAAGGTCACCTGTTGGATTGGCATTTTGGCATTGAATTGGTCTTCAGACCCTGGTGGTCCCAGGTCAAGGCAACAAGCTCTACGCGAAAGTGTTTTCGGGTCAAAACGGGTTTCCAAGGCTTGGCCTGGTCATTTGTTTACACTGCCATACTCAACTCAACTTTTTGACCTGCTCCTCAAAGGGGGTTTGTTTATTTTCCCTTCTCAACAAAAATATTCTCACTTTTTGGTAGGGGAAGCAAAAGTCTGGCACAGCGTCAACCTCATGGGGTCACCTCAAGCGTAAGACTAAGTATGAATCGCATCCATCTGATAGTATTTGTGTGCAGAGTCCAAGCAATGGAGATTCGGACATGGACCCTCTCTAGTGTCCAAATCACTAGGTAGGTTCAACCATGATGAGATATCTGATGGGGTTACTTTGGTTAGTCCCCGGAACAATCCAGCGCTGAAAACCATACGGGTTTGAATTCCCAAAATGGTTGGTTTCCTTTTGGGGGGTTTGCCTGGGGTTGCCTGGGGTGATCGTCATAACCTGCTTGCCATCGTGAGATATCTGGGGTTTGCCTTGAATCATCATCGCCTTAGATTGATAACCTACTTACCATGGTGAGACAACCGGGGTTTGCCTGGAGTGATCGTTTTTCAGGTTAGTCCCCCTCCCGGAAAAGTAAAAAAAAACACCAAAAAAAACGTCCATCGTCCTTCGGGTTATAACCTGGTTACCATGGTGAGATAAACTGGGGTTTGCTGGAGATCGTCTCCAGGTTAGTCCCCCTTCCCGAACCCTCCCAAAATGGTTGGTTTTCTTTCGGAGGGTTTGCCTGGGTGATCGTCCCCTTCACATGGTTGTCATTGGGACACATTTTCCCCATTTTTGCTTATTGCGGTTTAGTGGTTGAAATCCAAATCCACTCAACTGCTAAAATCTGAGAATAATTGCTCCCCAAACCCGACGTCAACCAAGTTCAGGTTCGTCCCCTTACCACAACGACCCGTGGGAAATCCCCACTTAACTGCTAAAATCTGAGAATACTTGCTCCCCAAACCCAACGTCAGCCAAGTTCAGGTTTGTCCCCTTACCGCAACGACCCTTCCGCCAGACTTTTTCACCTGCTCACTTCCAGGGTGCGGCGAGTCTTGGGCTTAGAGCCCACACCCCTGGTGAAGCTGGAGCTGAAGGACTTCGAGGGCCTGACTCCTGGCCAGAGAGTTTGTTTTTCGCGCGCGGGCGGTTTGAAAGGAGAAGGTGGCTCCAAAGGCTGAGTTTGGGTAGTACCCCACCACGCTTTCTGCAACTCGAAGCTGTTTCTTCAAACTGGTTGTCTCTTCAACTCAGAGGTGCTTCTTCATGTATTAAGTAAAGCTGTTTGCCCCCGTCTTTCGGGAACGCACACATGACTTGCGACTTCCAACATGGAACCGGCACCTGGAATTTGTTTGTGTGAGTTCCAGGGTGCCCGGAGACAAGTAGATGGCTCAATTCTCTTCCTGTCGGTAAGAAAGCGGGATGATCAAACCCAATTTGGGGCTACTTCACCCAACTGTAGCTTGGCTTTGGTGTTTCTTCCGAGCTTCCCATATTTCAGGTGGTTGGCTTTTGCCGGTAACTTTCTGAATTTCTGGTTGCAAATTGATATGAGTTTCCCTAAGGTGGGGCCGGGAGTTAGGTAGGGGGGTGGGAAGATGAGAGCCCCTTCCGTGTTCCTTAAGGCTCCCTAAGGTTCCTTCGAAAGTCTTCGTAACCCCCCCCCCAAAAAAAAAAAAGAAGAAGAAGAGCAAAACAAAAAACAAGAGAAGCACACGTGCCTTGCTTGGATGTTCGGCCGAGTTAGTAAGTGGTTAGATAGCTGGGTCAAAACCGTCTATTAACAAGGTTAACAGCGCTTAGGGGGACTTGCAAGTGGGTTACAACCTAGGCTACCGACAACTTACTAACTTGGCGAAAACTTCTTATCTTCGCCGAACACCCAAGTGCCCCACAAAATGTGTTGGTAAAGAATGGTAAATCAGGGTGGGTGACTCCACGAACAAAACGGTCAATTACGGTCAACTACGGGGGATTCCGCGTAAATTGCGGTGATCTCGGGGGAGGTACTCCACAAAACAACACGCCGGGCCGCATTTGGGCCAAGTTCACATCGCGAGTCTCAGGAAGTCGGTCTATGTGAAGGACGAGTCCAAGCGGATGGGCCTGCAGGCGTGGCTCAAAATTAAGCCACCAGCACTTTGGCGCATTTTGCCAAGGGATGTTAGGACTTTAACTTTTTGATCCAACGAATGGGTTTTCCGTACTAAACCACTAAAAGTTATTCACTTTTAGCAGGGGAGCAGATTTCGCAAGCGAGAGCATATCCGCCGGGTTTAGTCATGGGTAACCCATTTATTTCGGGTAACCCAGTTTGGGCAATTACCCCATTTTTGACCCACAGCCATATGAAGAAAAAACAACTTGAATCATGGCAGGGGACACGGGTCCACGCTCATCACTCCCCCCTCAAAAAGAAGAAGAAGATACCAACTTTGGGAAAGACGGACATAGGCCAGTTGAGGTGTGGAAAGGGTGGTGTGTTTGAGGGTTCCTAGGACAGTTCTATGATTTGATGCGGATGGACCAGCAGTCCCCCCGTTTTCAACGGGGCAAATGGGGTCTTGTCTTGTGGTCCCAGGACCATTGAGGCCTTTTGGAGTAGGCCCTTGTACTCAAGGTCTCAGGACACTAAGGAGTGGTGCAACTTAAAAGAACCAACATTAACATTGGATGTGGTTGTCTTTTGTGGAAGCTAAGAGTCGTAGAACTGCTCCTGCCACACACACACACACACACACAACCTGTCCATTTTCGACTTCCCCCATGCAGTGTGTTTGGTGGGTCCCCATTTTGGGGGGGGAGGGTCAAAGAGAATTACAGAGCTATGGTTTGTATGGGGTTCCCACCCAAAAGTGGTTCTGAGCAGCCTCAACACCACTTGAATGGACCCCTCGCAAATGGGTGGTTCCACGAGTTTATGGGGGCTGGGGAGGGAGGGGAGGGGGAGGGAGCCCAAATAAGCCCTAAATAAGGCCTTCACAAGGGCTTAACAAGGGTTTTTTTGGGCTCCCCCTCCCCTCCCTCCCCCCCAGCCCCCATGAAAAATCACCCAAAGGGTTCCCTGAAGCACCAATCCAGCTTCATTCTGCCCGCGTCTTGCGAGCTTTGGAGGCCTTCAAGGTGGTCGGGGGCGCCTACGCCATGCTGCGCTTCATGTGTCGCTTGGCCGAAATACCCGGAAAAACAAAGAAAAAAAGCTCCGCTTGGCGGGTGGCACCAGCTGGCCAGCTGGCTGGGTGGTTGGGTGGCTGGGTGCGGGCGAGTGACCTCAGGTAAGCGGCTGGCGCTGCCGCTGCCCGAGGGAGCCAAGGGCGCCGAAGAGGTGCAGCGCCTCTACGCGGCTCGGTTGCCACTGTGGCATTTTGCCACGCTCATAGCGCCCTGTGCCAAAAAAAGCCGTCCTCTACACCAACTCACCTCAGGAGTTTCGGGACTTGATCGTCACTTTTATCTTTTGGGGTTTGGTTCAGTTGAGTCGCACATGAAGATGTTCTGGGACTTTTTCTGGCTCCACTGCAAAAGCCAAAGGCCTGACGCAATGCCATAGAAGCCAGCTGCGCGTGTTGATGGAGCGTGGAATCCTCGATTCAGGACCCTCTTTTTCCAGGTGAGTCCATGCGGTTTCGCAGGGATCCCAAACGGTTCAGTCCAATGGAATCAATGCACCAGTTGGATGAAACCCTCTTGCCGGGATAAACCACCAATCTCAACTGGTGGACCCCACAAAATGAATTCGGATTTCCTTTGGGTTTTGCTTGAAGACCCACCAAATTTGGCACCGAGACTCAAAAAAGAGAGCCACCCATTTTGTATTGTTTAGACCTTTCTTCGCGGGCCTTTTTTAGGGGACCCCTAAAACCGCCGGGAAAAAAACAGGACGCAGACGCAGAGGTCTCAAAGCAGGACGGCCATTTTGTTTTGGGACGCCACGTCCCAACTTGGGTGTGCTACCAACTTGCTTATATCATCCTGGTAAGCCGACCAACGTAAGGCAAACCCCAGCTATATCCTTTGTTTTTTTTCACCTTCGTAAGTCGGCTGAGCATCCGAGAGTACACCTTCGCGGCGTCTAGCTGGTGCTCAGCAGGGAATGAGAAATGAAATGAACCCAGGCTTTGGTCCCCTTAATTAAAGGAAACCACCAGTTGGCTGGTTTATCTCGGGGTCATTCCAATTCTCATTCCCTGCATCTCTCGCACCAGCAAGATGAGTCACCAGGGCTGGGGGCGGAGGTTTCCTACTGTTGTGGAATCCCCTTAGCGGGGGGTAAGCGCATGGGGCGTGGGTCGAGAGCCTCGTTTCACGGGTAGCAAGTTTGTTGCAATTGGACCTTGCTGCTTGGGGGTTGGCCATGGATCTTCGTAGTTGATCTCCTCCCTCTTAGGTCGAAAACGGCACCCTGTTCGAAGGTCTTAGTTGGGAGCCCCGTTTCACGGGTTCCTTCCGTGAGGAACCGACCACCTGTCTTGTCCAGTTTTCTTTGGCGCATGTTGCTTGGATGTTCGGACTTTAGCTTTTTGCCAACTAATGGGTTTTCCGTATCAAACCATCAAGAGTTAAACTCTTAGCAGGGGAGCCACCTGCCTAGCATAGCCAAGTTGCCGCTTTCTCAGTCGCTGAAAAAAGCGATCGCGGCTGGCGATCCAGGAGTCCATATATTCCTTCCCTAGGGAACCCACCTGTCTATTGGCCATGGATCTTCGTATTTCTTCTCCTCCTCCCTCTTTGAAGGTCGAAAACGACAGTCCATTTTTGCACCTGTCTATTTTTCAGACACATCTTCGTATTTGATCTCCCTCTTAGGTCGAAAACGGCACCCTCCCTGTTTGCAGGTCAATTTGTAGCCCCGTTTCGCGGGTTCCGTAGGGAACCGACCACCTGTCTGGATCGCCAGCTGCGATCGCTTTTTTGTTCGTGCACTTTACCTCAAAAACTAGTAACAGTGACTGAAAAAAGCGGCAACTTGGCTATCTAGGTGTCTATTTCACCTGTCTATTTTTGAGACACGTTCCAGGACCCCACTGTTTGAAGGGATCTTATTTGGCTGTGGCTCAAAAAACCGGCACCAAAATGGAACCCTGGCAAGTGGAAACATGGACCAAAACCTGCGGTCTGCCCCTCCTGTTTAATTTTGAGCCACACCCCTTTGATTTCCCTCTTAGGTCGAAATCAGCGCCCTGTTTGAAGGTCCCTGAACCCTCACAATTCCCTTAAAAATGGGTTTGACCCCCAAAATTATGGGGTGATCTCCCATTTTTATGGGTAGTTTGAGGGTCCAGGTCCATTTTCCAGCCACGTCCCACGTCCGACCCCGCCGACAGCAGCGTCCGCAGGTGGAGCGCTTCGGGGCCACGACCTTCGTCACCGCCACGGACGGAAACCACGGCCGCGGCGTGGCCTGGGCGGCCAGGCGCGGAAGACGAAGACGACGCGGACGCTCCGGGGTGTCTTTGGGCAGGTGGGCGTTTTGTTGTCTCAGTTTTGGGTGTACAGTTGTGTGTCTGCTTTTGTTCACACAACCACAAAAAAACAGTCTTGTTTTGGTGTTTTTCTTTTGTTTACACAACAAAAAGCCAGTGTTGTTTCCCCCTTGTTTTTCCGTTTTGGTTCAGTTTTGTTGTTTGTTCGCTTGGTTAAACACATACAATTTGTTGTGTGTGTGTGTGTGTTTGTGCTTTGAGTTGTTTTGAAGTTGTGTTTCGGGGTTTTGTGTTTGTTTCGAGTTTGTTTTTGTTGTTGAATGTGTTGGTAGGACGGTAGTTGTTGCTCGCTTGGTTGCTGTTTTTGAGTTTGGGTTGTTGACTTTGTGTTGCATGATTGTGTTTCGTTCGGGTGTTTGATTCCTCAACCGAAGTTTTGGAGTCTCTGCACAGCATGGGCTCCTTTGGGAGCGGTCTGAGGAAGGGAAGGGTAGTACACCCCAGCTCGTCCAAGAACACCAGCTCTCTTGTGACATTGTGGTTGGCCACCTCATTTTATAAAGTACGTTAACGGGAAACAACCCCAGATTCAACACCAGAAGCAATGAAATTAACTACAGTTCTTGAGCCCCTCTGCCCCGCTGATGCCGTTTTACCTCCATACCTCCATACCTCCATACCTCCATACCTCCATACCTCCATACCTCCATACCTCCATACCTCCATACCTCCATTCCTCCATTCCTCCATTCCTCCATACCTCCATACCTCCATCCCTCCATACCTCCATACCTTCATACAGATCTCCATACCTCCATACCTCCATATCCACCTCCATACCTCCATACCTCCATATCCTCCATACCTCCATACCTCCATACATCCATACTTCCATACTTCTATACCTCCATCCCTCCATACCTCCATACCTCCATACCTCAATACCTCCATACATCCATACCTCCATACCTCCATACATCCATACCTCCATACCTCCATCCCTCCATACCTCCATACCTCCATACTTCCATCCCTCCATACCTCCATACCTCCATACCTCCATCCCTCCATACCTCCATACCTCCATACCTCCATACCTTCATACCTCCATACCTCCATCCCTCCATACCTCCATCCCTCCATCCCTCCACACCTCCATACCTCCATACCTCCATACCTCCATACCTCCATACCTCCATACCTCCATCCCTCCATACCTCCATACCCCCATCCCTCCATACCTCCATACCTCCATACATCCATACTTCCATACTTCTATACCTCCATCCCTCCATACCTCCATACCTCCATACCTCAATACCTCCATACATCCATACCTCCATACCTCCATACATCCATACCTCCATACCTCCATCCCTCCATACCTCCATACCTCCATACTTCCATCCCTCCATACCTCCATACCTCCATACCTCCATCCCTCCATACCTCCATACCTCCATACCTCCATACCTTCATACCTCCATACCTCCATCCCTCCATACCTCCAAACCTCCATCCCTCCACACCTCCATACCTTCATACCTCCATACCTCCATACCTCCATACCTCCATACCTCCATACCCCCATCCCTCCATACCTCGATACCTCCATACCTTTATCCCTCCCCTCCATACCTCCATACCTCCCTCGCTCCGTACCTCCATACCTCCATCCCTCCATACCTCCATACCTCCATACCTTTATACAACCATACATCCATACTTCTAAGCCTCCATATCTTCATCCCTCCATACCTCCATACCTCCATATCTCCATACCTCCATTCCTTCATACATCCATCCCTCCATACCTTCATACCTTCATACCTCCATACATCCATACATCCATACCTGCATACCTCCATACATCCATACATCCATACCTCCATACCTCCATACATCCATACATCCATACTTCAATACCTCCATCCCTCCATCCCTCCATATCTTCATACCTCCATTCCTTCATACTTCCATACATCCATACATCCATCCCTCCATACCTCCATACCTCCATCCCTTCATACCTCCATACCTCCATCCCTCCATCCCTCCATACCTCCATACATTCATACCTCCATACCTCCATCCCTCCATACCTCCATACCTCCATCCCTCCATCCCTCCATCCCTCCATACCTCCATACATAACTCCATACCTCCATCCCTTCGTACCTTCATACCTCCATCCCTCCATACCTCCATACATCCATACATCCATACTTCTATACCTCCATCCCTCCATCCCTCCATACCTCCATACCTCCATACCTCCATACCTCCATCCCTCCATACCTCCATACCTCCATACCTCCATACATCCATCTCTCCATACTTCTATACCTCCATACCTCCATTCCTCCATCCCTCCATACCTTCATACCTTCATACCTCTATACCTCCATACCTTCATACCTCCTACCTCCATACCTCAATGCCTTCTTAGTCCTCCTCGCCTCCATCCCTCCATACCTTCATACCTCCATAGCTCCATACCTCCATCCCTCCATACATCCATACCTCCATCCCTCCATACCTCCATACCCCCATACCTCCATCCCTCCATCCCTCCATACCTCCATACTTCCATCCCTCCATCCCTCCATACCTCCATACCTCCATACCTCCATCCCTCCATACCTCCATACCTCCATACCTCCATACCTTCATACGTCCATTCCTCCATACCTCCATACCTCCATTCCTCCATCCCTCCATACCTCCATACCTCCATCCCTCCATACCTCCATACCTCCATACCTCCAAACCTCCATCCCTCCACACCTCCATACCTTCATACCTCCATACTTCTATACCTCCATCTCTCCATACCTCCATACCTCCATCGCTCCATACCTCCAATCCTCCATCCCTCCACACCTCCATACCTCCATACCTGCATCCCTCCATACCTCCATACCTCCATACCTCCATCCCTCCAAACCTCCATCCCTCCACACCTCCATACCTCCATACCTGCATACCTCCATACCTCCATACCTCCATACCTCCATCCCTCCATACCTGAAATTTCCAGCTTCCCAGTTAGCTGCTTTTTTCCCCTCGGGTTTTCTCTATCCCAAAACGGAGCTCGAGCGCCAGGAAGTTCCGGCAGAAGGCGGTGGTCTACATGCCGAAAGGATCTGCGCAGCAGCGGCTGCAGCATGTGCTGGACCTCGGGGCACAGGCGGCTCTTTTTTTTGGGGGGGGGGGGATTGCGAGTGGGGGGTTTCGAGGTTGGGTTGTTGCTTGGGTTTGCTTTTTTTCGGTTGTTGGTTGTGTTGTTGTTCTATTTTGTTTTGGTTGGGTTGTTGGTTTGTTGGTTTGCGTTGGTTGCAGTTGTTGGTTGTGTTGTTTTTCTCTGTTGTTTGTTGTTTTGGTCGGGTGATTGGCTTGTTGGTGTTTTGTTTTTGGCTTTTGGCCGTTGCTTCTTGGCTTTTGGCCGGGTGTTTGGTGCTCGTTTTGTGGCTCGGGTTTGTTTTGTCCAGGAAGTGTGGGCAACTTCCTGGAGCCAAAGCGGTGGGTTGCATGGCTAATTCTCCCAAGAGGGCCCAAGGGGCTAGGGCCACACCTGACGATTCCGGGAGAAGCAAAAGGGGCAAGGTTTGGTTTGTGTTTGTTTTACATCATGTGGAGGCTTGGTTACCTTTTGCACATCAGGAATTTAGCAGCTTCTCCAAGTTTCCCTCTAAAATGTCAAGTTGGCAAGAGGTTCCTGTTGGTTCCGCTTTGAATACCAGGCTCCGAAAGTTTGCCACCGAAGCTCGCTAGGCCCAACTTACGACGGCTTGCTGCGATACGTGGGGAATGACCTTGGGAATGAACCCAGGCTTTGGTCCCCTAAACCACAAGGGGAAGGTTTATAGGGGTTCCCTCGCACTTGCAAGCAAAGTATCAAAGGGCACTAGGAGACGTTTCGAGCACCTCCCGAGTTCATGGACGGAGAGCAGTGGTTCCAACCTGATAAGACAAATTGCATCCGGTGGGAATCTCAACCTGAGCGATTTTCTATCAAGGCTGATTCATATACAACGGTCGTTTGAGAAACCATGTGTAAAGGGTTGTTTCAGGTTGGCGCATCACCAAAACAAGAATTGAGCAAATATACAAGACAGAATCAATCCTTTCACCCGTTGGATTCCAGGCGCTTGCCTATAGCATGCTCGTTTGGTATAGGTTCTATCTTGGATGGTTTCCGCTTACGCATGGCGAAAGGCCGGGAAAGCACCGAACATGGTTTCCATGAGGTGAAACCTTCTGGAGGTTGAATCGATTCGGCCCCCTCCAATGACGCTTATAAGGGCAGAACCAACCAACCATTCTGTTGTGCATGGGTGACCAAATCCCGCCCCACCAACCTAGCCAAACAACCCATGCCGACCCGGAGTCCTTTTCCGGGGGGGTTTATTAATCTTTATGGCTATTTGGTCGAATCTTTGGACTTTAACTTGTTGGTTGAAACAGTTCGGATTTTCCGCACTTCGCACCGCTTTGAGCCCATGGTTGAAACCGTGTCGTTTGCTGGTATCCGCCTTGGGGGAATCGTATCATTCCTTTGGGTTTCTGAACGGTGGTGCGAAACTCGCGGATGTCGCAACCACCCACAGTCAGATGCTTGAGTCTTTACTACAATCCCAATTGAACCGGGTAGGCCATGGAAGGCAATCCTAGAAGGGGGCTGCCAAAAACAAAAGAATGGTTGCAAGCCCATACCGTTCACAGTCTTTGCTGGCGTGATAGGTAGGGAACGAGAAATGGAACGCTTTAGTCCCCTTAAAGTAAACCACTGTGGATGGTTTATAAGGGTCATTCCCTCATTCTCTGCCTATCGCACAAGCCAAGAGTATCAGTATACCGATTGAGTTTAATGCAAACTTCACCAGCAAGGGATGGTTTATCTCGTGGTCATTAAATTTATCATTCCGTGCATATCTCGCACTGATCTCCGATCGCCAGACAAGTATCAAGGGAACATGAGGAGACATATTGAGAATCCGGGTTGCAGTGGTTCCAATTTGATAAGACAAATTGGTGGGATGCCCCAAAATCAGGCTGCGCAAAAGAGACGATTTTTGTTGCAAGCAACGAGATATCTAGGGGTACCTTTCCCATTCTTTCCAGGGATGCTTCTTTTCAGGAAACCATCAAAATAATGGAAAAGTTGAATCAACCCCTAAAAAGTTGGCATTTGCAGGGAGAGGTTATGGAGGTATGGAGGTTATATGAATGGGAAAGTTGACTCAACCCCTAGAAGATACCGCTTGGCGCTATCCATTCCTAGGCAACTAAAGCATTCCCACCACATTTTTGGCTCGTGTTCCGCCGCCGTTAGGCGGAGATCACGGAGTTGAACTACGACGACACCGTGGAGATGGCCTTTAAGCAGGGCCAAGACCAGGGCTGGGTGGTGCTGCAGGACCCGCGGACGACGACCCGCTACTGGCGGTGATAATGCTTGACAACCACTTAGCCAAAGTTGTTCAGCTCTTGGGGAGTACTAGAGGCAAAGAGCAACTAGGTCCCCCAGCCAGGTGCCCTTTCTCAGCCTTTTTTGGGGGAGGCGGCAGAAAAAAAATCGGGTACCCTCATTCTAACCTCTCTACTCAAAAACCTAGACCAGTTGAACTTCGATCAGAGGTTTTTTTGGCCAAGTCAAACATTCTGATGCAGAACATCCGTAAATCCCATCTTATCCTCATATTCAAATTCGTGTTTCTGTTTTTGGGGAACTCCTTTTGGGTTGGCTTTAGAGGAAGACAAACAGGAACACCGTAACACTGCCATTTTGAGGGGCCCCCTAAGAACAAACAGGCGCACCCAAATTTCGGGACAGCCTCCGTTTCAGCTGGCGCGGTTTGTTGATTTCGTCCATCCGGAACACATAATTAGATCTAGGTCCCCCAGTACTGGTAGTGCCCTTTCTCACCCCTTTTTCGGTTGGAGGAATCCCTACTAGAATAGACCAAACTGAAAAACCAATCGCGGGTACCAATTTATTCCAAGCTCTCAAATCTGGAGGACCTAGGCTTCAAACACCTGTTCGGTTGGCCCCTTTCCAGTGAGTCCATTTTAGTGGGGATTGGGATGTTCACTGGGGGTACGGGATTTTGACCCATGGCCATATTTTCCTGAGGACACCACCGCGCCCGGGTACACGGAGATCCCCGAGTGGATCATGCAGGGCTACACTGCCATGGTGGACGAGGCACTTTTTTCCGCTTGCGGTCGATCGATCGCAAGTAGCCCATGGAACAGCATTGGAGGACCCGATCAGAGGTGTCCCTTTTTGGTGGTTGACGTGGAAAAGGACCAAACCATATATTTGGTTGGGTGTGCTTTTTGGTTGATGTTGGTCCATTTTGGCTGTTTTGTGTTTGGTTGATTTGTTTCTTGGCCCTGGGAAATGCCTGCAATGATAACCCGTACGGTCCGAGCAAGCCTGGGGGGCTGGTCGGGATTGGGGGGTTGGGGCCTTTGGTTGGGACTCACTCCCTGAGTTCCGTGTCGGACTTTTCATACTTTTTGGGAAGACTGTTGGGAGCTGTTTTTGGCCAGCTCACGAAGTCCCTCAGTGATTCCATTTTGCCTGTAGAGGAGACAATCAAGGATTTTCCCATTCAACCAAAAGGACATTCGGTGGCTACTTACTATGGCAACCGGGATAGGGTCCATTTCTTCCCCAGAATTAGCTCCCTTTTTGCATTTTTGCTTTTTTGGGGTTCCGTTTGTTTTCCACTAACCAGGCAAAACAGATATTTTTTGCTGGGGTTCGATTTGTCCAGCCAAGATTTGAGGTACATGAGGGCCCTTGTTGCTTTCCAGGCGGTGGAGGCTACGGAGAAGGAGGGGTCAATCACCCATGTGGTGCTGCAGATGGGTGTGGGCTCCATGGCAGCGGCGGTGGTCGGCTACTTCACCGCCCGCTTCGGGGTGTCCAACGGAAGCGCCTGGGATGTGAAATCCAGCTGGAATGTGCTAGGAATCCAAAAAGGGTTTGGTGCTCGTTTACTTGACTGCTATTGGGTTGGATCTTTAGACTTTAACTTTTTGGGAAATAAAGGTGTTTTCCACTAAACCCCACAAAAGTTAAACTTTTTGCTGGAGGGTCAACTGCAACCAAGGTGAAGATCTACTGGTAACCTCTAGGAGTTATAACGCACGGTAGTAAGTTAAGTGGCTGGCTGCTTACCAAGATGGCTGAACATCCAAGTAGGTAACCAACAAGCACCTTTAACAGAAACCAAGAGTAAGATGGATCGCCTTGAATCCACTCGGTTTTGATTCGGTCCTTTCTTGCCGGCTCTTCTTGTTTTGGTTAGAAGTGCCACCCTGAAACAACCATGTACAATTGGTTTCCCAAACAGCCATTTCTTGTAGACCTGCTTGATGGAAAATGGCAGGTTGGGACACCATCATTTCCAAATGGTTTTGGCACTGACTCCCTGAGTTCCGGGACTAAAGCGTCACTTCTTGTGTTGGCCATGTTAGTTCTAAACAAACAGTTTGGGAGCTTTTTTGGCCAACCCACTCATTAGAAGTGAGGTCAGATTCCAGGTGATGATTGTCAATGGTTGGTTGCCACTTCCTTTGTGCTGAATAGAAAAGGTTCCTGTTGTTGTCCCTTTTTGGTGGTTTAAGGCATCGTCTGTTGGGCCAATTCACGGTGAGTTTCTTATTTGGTGATTTTCACTGAAAGAAAGAGCCAATTACAAGAGTTCAGAATCCAGACCGTCCAACCACCTCTAGCGCTTTGCCGCAAACGGGCTGTTTCCTTTTTGGTTTCCCTTGACCCACCAAAAAAGGGACCATATGGAGAACCTCCTGGCACCCCGTCGTTTTTTTTCCCCCGCTTTAAGCTCCCAGCTGTTGATCGGTGGTTTGGATCGGTTGACTTGAACCGGCTCTCGTGGGATGGGGAGCTCGCTAACCGATCCAAGCGATTCAATCGGGGAAGCCAATGTACCTGAACCCTCAAAATTCCAACTTAAAAATGGGTTTGACCCCCAAAATTATGGAATGTGCTTTCCCATTTTTATGGGTAGTTTGAGGGTCCAGGTAGCCGCAATCAAAACCCAGGGTAGATGAAGGCTAGCGAGGGGAAAAATCCCAAGCATGAATGGGTGCAGCCGCCTTGTCCATTCTTGAAGCATGGTTGTGGGCAGACCATTTAGTACGATCGAATTTATTGCGACTTAATGGTTTTCAATATGCTCACTTGCCCAAAGCGAATCGACCTTGTGACCTTTTGGAAATCACCTGGATCGCCAGTTGCTGTTTTTTTCCCCATGCACTTTACCCCAAGAACCAGCAACAGTGACTGAAAAAAGCGGCAACTTGGCGATCTAGGCAGTCTTGACAACCATAGTTCGCATATTTTGTTGGTCCCAAAAGGTGATCACCTGCATGGCCTGCTGCTTTTCCCAGCTGAGACTTTTTGAGGAAAAGTGTGTGGAACAAAGCGGCAACTTGGGGATCTAAGCGCCTTTTATTTCCAGGTCCCAGGGGGAAGTACGTATACCTGAACCCTCAAAATTCTAACTTAAAAATGGGTTTGACCCCCAAAATTGTGGGGTGATATCCCATATTTATGGGTAGTTTGAGAGTCCAGGGATACAGATGTTACAGAAAAGAGAAGGACAACCGGTGCGCCATTTTTGAGGGAAGGTAAAGAAGACGAGCCACCCAGATTTGAAACTCGTACCCGATCTGTTCGTCTCAAGCTTCCTCGAAGGCCCTTCTCAGTGCCCGCGGTTTCTGGTGATCGAGCCCTGGAACGCCGCCTGTGGCTTCGAATCGGCGAAGGCCGCCAATGGATTCGCCTTCGATTCGCCTGCGATTCGGTAGGATGTTCGTGCGTCAGGGAAGTAGGTTTCTGTTGACCTCACATTAATCAACCCCAGTTTATTCGTAGGGGGTCTTCCCCTCCCAAAAGTGATGAGCTACCACTATAGTTGGTAACCAACCAATTTCCTTGGTTACGTACGTTACATGTAAATGGAATCACTGGGTCAGATAAGTAGGCTGCGTTATGACATTTATACAGGGGGTCCCTTTTTAGTGGGGAATCCTTTCTTCCAGGGGGGCCGGGACCCCCGGGTGAACAACTGAGGGTTTGTCAAACAGCGGTCGCAATTCTGGGATGTTCCTTGCCTAGCTCAAATAAGTAGGGTATAACCATGGTAAGCCAACTAACCCCATTTACCCGGGCAAACAACCTGGGTTATAACCTACTTGCTTAACAAGGGCCGAAAGGGCGCGTTTGCAGATGTCAACCTGGAGGAAAAAACACACGACTCTAGGGGCATGGAGTTTTTGTGGAACCAATTTGGACAAACTTCGGAAGCGAGGCAAAAGAAGGACAGCTCTCATGCGGAAAATGCAAGCGCTTGTCACATGTTGGCTCTACAGGTCAGTGCAACAGTGCATGAACTCTTCCACTTTTCAGCTAGATGCCCCAAGGTCCAACTCGCGTTTGTGTTTTCCTTTTTCGCTTTGGCCCAAAAAGCTGGGGGCTGGGGAGGGAAGGGGGGCCCCACCCCAGTCCTTCCCTCCCCCCCCCCCGCGGCGAGGCGGGGGAGATGAGGAGCGTGGAGGGAGACCTGGAGACCATGGTGGCCGGCTTGGCCTGCGGAGTGCCCAGCAGCGTCTCGGAATCGGACACGAACAGGGAAGAAGTACATCTGGCTGTGGTTGGCAAAACCAGTCGGCATCGGGATCCCATTTTGGGGCAGGTGCACCAGGTGCACCACCCATTTTAGAACCTATTTTAGTGGGGATTGGGATGTTCACTGGGGGTACGATTTGGATTTTGACCCATGGCCATCTATATGTATATATATATAGACATGTCTATATAGTGCTACCTTCTTGACTGAGCATGACCCAGGGGGGGGGTGGCCAAGGAAGACTGGAGCATATATATATATATAGATATATATATATATATACCAAGGGTCGCAAAAGGTGCAGTATGAGACCAACAAACAGAAAGCAACTCTACCCCTCATCCCACGTGGCAGATTTGTTTGCGTCCGGCCCGGGGTTCGCCTCCGTGGGGTCCCTTGGGCCGACGGGGGCGGCGACGCGCGTGGGACGAGCGCGATCGGTCCGAGGCCTGGCGTGGCCGGTGCTGGCGGAGTTTGGGCATGCCTTCCTGCGGCTCAAGGAGGGGTAGGTGGGTGGGGCCGGGCTCAAAGATCTGGTTCCATTTGGGTGTGTCTGAAAGTAGTGAGTGCGGGTTGATTGGTGGGTTGGTGGGTTGGTGGGTTGGTGGGTTGGTGGGTTGATAGGTGGGTTGGTGGGTTGGTGGGTTGGTGGGTTGATTGGTGGGTTGATCGGTTGGTTGGTTGGTGGCTTGATAGGTGGGTTGATGGGTGGGTTGATTGGTGGGTTGATAGGTGGCTTGATTGGTGGGTTGATCGGTGAGTTGATGAGTGAATTGATGGGTGGCTTGATTGGTGGGTTGATCGGTGGGTTGATGGGTGGGTTGATGGGTGGGTTGATGGGTGGCTTGATCGGTGGGTTGACCGGTGAGTTGATGGGTGGGTTGATGGGTGGCTTGATCGGCGGGTTGATCGGTGGGTTGATAGGTGGCTTGATAGGTGGGTTGATGGGTGGCTTGATCGGTGGGTTGATCGGTGGGTTGATGGGTGGGTTGATGGGTGGGTTGATGGGTGGGTTGATAGGTGGCCCGATAGGTGGCTTGATCGGTGGGTTGATGGGTGGGTTGATGGGTGGCTTGATCGGTGGGTTGATGGGTGCATTGGTGGGTGTGGGTTGATTGGTGGGTGTGGGTTGATGGGTGGCTTGATCGGTGGGTTGATCGGTGGGTGGTGGGTTGATGGGTGGGTTGATGGCCCACCGATCAAGCCACCCATCAAGCCACCCAGCAACCCACCCATCAACCCACCGATCAACCCACCTATCAACCCACCCATCAACCCACCCATCAACCCACCGATCCACCCCTGATCAAGCCACCCATCAACCCACCCATCAACCCACCCATCAACCCACCGATCAACCCACCGATCAAGCCACCCATCAACCCACCTATCAAGCCACCTATCAACCCACCCATCAAGCCAACCATCCACCCACCGATCAAGCCACCCATCAACCCACCCATCAACCAACTGATCAAGCCACCCATCAACCCACCCATCAACCCACCCATCAACCCACCGATCAACCCACCGATCAAGCCACCCATCAACCCACCCATCAACTCACCGATCAACCCACCTATCAAGCCACCTATCAACCCAGTGGGTTGATGGGTGGGTTGATGGGTGGGTTTATGGGTGGCTTGATCGGTGGGTTGATCGGTGGCTTGATCGGTGGGTTGATGGGTGGGTTGATGGGTGTGGGTTGATCGGTGGGTTGGTTGGTGGCTTAATGGGTGGCTTGATGGGTGGCTTGATGGGTGGGTTGATGGGTGGGTTGATGGGTGGCTTGATCGGTGGGTTGATAGGTGGCTTGGTAGGTGGGTTGATGGGTGGCTTGATCGGTGGGTTGATGGGTGGCTTGATGGGTGGGTTGATGGGTGGCTTGATCGGTGGGTTGATAGGTGGCTTGATACGTGGGTTGATGGGTGGATTGGTGGGTGTGGGTTGATTGGTGGGTTGATTGGTGGGTTCAATGGTGGGTTGGTTGATGGGTGGTTGGTTGGTCTATTGGTGGGTTGATCGGTGAGTTGATGGGTGGGTTGATGGCTGGGTTGATAGGTGGCTTGATAGGTGGGTTGATCGGTGAGTTGATGGGTGGGTTGATGGGTGGCTTGATCGGTGGGTTGATCGGTGGGTTGATGGGTGGGTGGATGGGTGGGTTGATCGGTGGCTTGATAGGTGGCTTGATAGGTGGGTTGATGGGTGGGTTGATATGTGGGTTGATAGGTGGCTTGATCGGTGGGTTGATCGGTGGGTTGATCGGTGGGTTGATGGGTGGCTTAATGGGTGGCTTGATGGGTGGGTTGATGGGTGGGTGGGTTGATGGGTGGCTTGATGGGTGGGTTGATAGGTGGCTTGATAGGTGGGTTGATGGGTGGCTTGATCGGTGGGTTGATGGGTGGGTTGATGGGTGGGTTGATGAGTGGCTTGATCGGTGGGTTGATCGGTGGGTTGATGGGTGGGTTGATCGGTGGCTTGATGAGGTGGCTTGATAGGTGGGGTTGATGGGTGGGTTGATGGGTGGGTTGATAGGTGGCTTGATCGGTGGCTTGATCGGTGGGTTGATCGGTGGCTTGATCGGTGGGTTGATGGGTGTGGGTTGATCGGTGGGTTGGTTGGTGGCTTGATAGGTGGGTTGATGGGTGGGTTGGTTGGTTGCTTGATAGGTTGGTTGGTTGATGGGTGGGTTGATGGGTGGGTTGATAGGTGGCTTGATCGGTGGCTTGATCGGTGGGTTGATCGGTGGCTTGATCGGTGGGTTGATGGGTGTGGGTTGATCGGTGGGTTGGTTGGTGGCTTGATAGGTGGTGGGTTGATAGGTGGCTTGATCGGTGGCTTGATCGGTGGGTTGATCGGTGGGTTGATCGGTGGGTTGATCGGTGGGTTGATGGGTGTGGGTTGATCGGTGGGTTGGTTGGTGGCTTGATAGGTGGGTTGATGGGCGGGTTGATGGGTGGGTGGGTTGATAGGTGGCTTGATCGGTGGGTTGATCGGTGGGTTGATGGGTGGGTTGATGGGTGGGTTGATTAGTGGGTGAGTGCTGTTTCGGAAAAAATCGAAGGTGGGTAGGGTCTGAATTGGTGGTTTGGATTGGCCTTGGGGGTTTGAGCCTCTTGTTCTTGCAGCTCGGGTAAATGGGAAATTGGAACCTGCACCCACGCAGACGGAAGCTGACGACATGCGTCGTGGGGGGATCCTCCCCCCCCATCCCCTAATGCCCTAATCGCCCAAAGCCAATGGTGAGTACAAGGTGCCAACTTAGATCATGAGCTTACATGATGACGCATATTCTCCTAGGTCCCCCAGTAGTGCCCCTTCTCACCCCTTTTTTGGTTGGGAGGGTTCCCCTACCAAAATAGGCAACAGAAAAAAGGGCACCCTTATTCTAACCTCTCTACTGGAGGACCTAGTCTCTGATCATGAGGCAATGAAGCCCACTGTTTAGCTCTTGCATCCAATTGCCCTCTCACAAAGAGGCGGCCCAAGGGCTTCCCAAAGAGAGTAGTCTATCCTCACTCCTCGACACTTGAGTTGCTGGACTTTATCCTTTTTTGGGAAGACCAAATTTGAGTTGCAAAGAACAAGTGTGCCGAGATAGCCAGTTGCGAATCGCTTTTTCCCAGCAACTGTGACTGTGTTTCGGGTCAATCCAGAAGAAAAGAACGTTTTTGCAGCTTGGCTCGCTCCAGGTGGTTGCTTCGTGGGTGCCCATCCACTCGATCGGAAGCATTTCGTTGCTCAGACCCACACCTCCAGGACGGCCTGGCCGGAAACGGCATGCGCCTGCTGCGGCAGTCGGGGGTGGAGGCTGGGAAACCTTCGAAGATTAGCATCTGGCTCTGGAAAAAAGCACTTCTCTCCTGGACTTGATCGTCGCTTCTTTGGGTCTGGACCCATTTTAGTGGCAAAAACGGTCTGACCCATCCACTCAGGAAATCTGCGTGTGTGTGTCTGTTTGCGGGTACCCTTTTCAGGCTGGTATGAAAGGAAGCTAAAAGGGAAACCATCATTTTGGGTTGCCAAATCACAATCTTGACGCCTTAAGGGGTCACCGGGACGTTTGCATCTTTGCCCTTGACTGAATGAGGACTGACTAACAAAGGAGGTTGCGAAACAAAAGCAAGTGGGTTTTCCTATAGGGGTGCCCCCAAAAGGGTACCTTCAACAAAACAGTCCCACGTGTTTTCCGTCGTTGCACTTGGGACAAGACTCAAGATGCGCAACTGAAAGGTCTGGGGGTGGTTTGGGGCCATCACACATCATCTTGAACGTTAAGAAAGCCTAGCACCAAAAGCTGAAACCGCTTGGCTGGCAAAACCCTGGAAGCACTGATAAAGGGTTCTGTTCATTTCCACCAAGAACCGAGTTTAGCCTGTGTCCAAGACCCGCGTATCAAATCCCATGTTTTGCTTCAGACCCCAAAAATGTTTGTTTCTCCTTTAGTTGCCCTAAC